AACCGACCCAAAAGACTGGGGCAGACCTCGGGATGCCTCGGGGGCCGTGCATCGCCGGCCCGAGCGGCGGCGCACAGCGGCCGGGCAGCCGTCGGGCTGCCGGCGTGGGCACGGCCCAGCCTTCTCCAACCACAAATTCGTCTGCACCGCGGGCCTGTCTGGGTGGCACTCGGTCACCGGAGGATCATCCATGGCTCAGCACCCCTCTGGGAACTAGTCTGTCGGCCCCCCCGCACGGCGTGTGCTGTCCCCTCCGCGGCCGCCGGCCCGGTTCCCCAGGAAGCCCGGGGCCGCGCGCTCAGCCTTGGGGCTCTCCAGGGTCGGGCCCCAGAGTCGCGGCTCCCGAGTGCAGAGACGCGGGGCGGCACAGCCTGGGTTCCGCTGGCACGTACTCCAGGCACAAACCCGTCCAACTGGCTGGGCCACTCCTGCCTGACGCCCCCCCCCCCAAGACACGGTTGGCTCTCCCGGATCGCGGGGCTGTCAGAACAAGCGGCGTTTAGCCTCCTGCGTGTCCCTGCAGAGCCCCGCGCAGAAACAGACAGCCCAGACCGCGCTCCCAAACGCAAGATCCCGGCAAAGTTGACGAAACAGCCTTCACTTTTATCTCATTTCGCTCCCTCCCATGTCTTCTATAGTCTTTTCTCCGCTCTCTCTCACGCAGTCACACTCGCGCGCCACAGGGTCTCTGCCAGCGCTAGCCCATCCCCCCCCCCGCCGGGATCCCCCACGGCGGAGGCTGGGACCTCGCCAGCTGGAGTCCGCACCGCCGGCTCGGCTTCATCTCCAAGGGTGAAACGCAGGGGGCGCCGGCTTCGGCCTGCGAGGATTAGGGGACTCCCAACGAGGTTACACCCTGACCTTCCTGCAAAGCACACGCCCCCACCCAAGCCCTTGTCCAGTATCCTCAATAACAAAGTTTGCAGTGCACGCCTACTCCCGGGTCCCTGCGTCTCCCTCCTGGGGAGTCACCAGAGAAGTGTAGATCCCATGGGACGCCCACCTGGTACTCCATCCATAGGGTGAAAAAAAGACGAAAGCGGGAGTGGGGAGTTCCAGAAAGTAGGACGGTTTTCAGAACAAAGATTTTAAATAATTTCCAGAAAGAAAAGTAGGAGGGAGCGAGTGACAAAACGTTTGCGAAAACTTAGTATCTGATTTCAGTGGAGACCCCCGCCGCTCAGCATGCATACCCCTCTCTGTCCCACATTCCTGACTCCAAGTGACAAAAAGAAGAAAAAAAAAAAACAACAACAAAACCTCAAACACAAAAACCCAGTAGGAGCACAACCTAGGACTGTCACCTATTCATTTGGGTATTCTCCCAGTACCCGCACCCTCTGTGACTCATCCTCTCATTTCAGTGGGAGCTGGAGCTGAGTAGAGGTGGGGATGGCGAGGATTACGACCCGACCAGCCAGGCCCATTTCGGCGCATCCTGAGGTCAGATGGGCAGTGTTGGGGCCTCCTGGCTCCCCTAAGAAGTAGCACTCCGGGGAGCATGGGTTTTAAAATCTGCTCCAAAGAGGCGTACTCTATCAATCCAGCAGACTATAGCATCAGAGAGGCTGTGGCGCCAGGATTCCCACGGTCACGCAACAGAGAGCCGAAAGCGAGCAGAAGGTGGTGCGCGGGGGATCAGGCAGCTGGCAGGCTGCGCACCACACAATCTCCCCGCCTACACCAGGGTGCGCGTTCCGGGCCTCTCGGCGGGGAAAGGTGCTTAGAACTTCTTGAATAACAGAGGGCCAGGAGCCAGCCCCACCACGGGGATCCGTGCTCACAAGTTGAACCCAATTAAGAGGAGGTACAACTCAGCTCAAGACGCGAGAGTACAGGCTTTTTTTTTTTCCCCAGAGAGGATTTTAAAAAAGAGGAAAGGAAAAGGGAGGAAAGTAAGGTTAAAAAGCCGAAAGAAAGTGGAAGAGGAAAAAGAGTGTTGTCTTCCTGGTGACGGCTCCGGATAGCGCTTCGCCCAACAACCAGCAATTATTTCAAAATCTGACGCTCCTCACTCACCTCGCCCCTTTCTGAGGCACAGTCAAAATTGTCACAAAAGGGGGGAAAGTAGGACACACTCCTTTTCCAAGGAAGGAAACGAAAGAAGGAAACGACCGTAACCTCCCTCTCTGGCTGCTCCGGGAAGTTCTCCCGGCGAATGGGAGGCGCGGGCGCAGCGCTGGGTAAAGTTTGTCCCACCCGTGTCTCGCTGTGGCCGCGAGGGGAGGAGGAGCAGAAGGGTCGAGCTCCCAAGCCTGCAGCCGCGGAGTCCACGGAGCCGGCGCCTCGCTTACCTCGCAGTCCTCGTACTTGATATTATCCGTCAGTTTCCAAAGCATTTTCATGGATCGGCGTGAACAGATGTGCCCCTCTCTGCTTCGCTCTAAAGTAGAGCTACTCTCTGGATAAGCGCTAAGTGCCGGCTGCCGGCAGTGAGCGCAGGAAGGAGGAGGAGGAGGGCGAAGAGGAGGAGGAGGGCAAGGAGGAGGAGGAGAAGGGCGAGGAGGAGGAGGGTGAGGAGGAGGAGGAGGAGGAGAGAAGGGAAAGAGCTCCGGTGTGCGCTCGGAGATCTCCCTCTAATGGTAGAAACTTTTCTCTTTTCCAGCTCTTTACCAACAGCCTAATCGCCTCATTAGCATATCAACAATAGTCCAATTGCTCGCCTGCACCACAACCTGCCGCCGGCCGCTCAGGCCCAGGTATAAAGGGCTCCTAGAGCCCAAACTTCCTCCCAGAACCCACGCCAGCCAGAGAGGAGCCGAATCTTCCCTGG